TCATGCCTGTCATCCTACCTACTCAGGAAGCTGAGATCTGAAGATTGAGGTTTGAGGTTTGGAGCCAGCTATGTCCTGCCCCCCCCAAAAAAAATTCAGTGAGACTCTTACCTCCAATTAACTAGCAAAAAGGTCGAAGAGGAACTGTGGCTCAAGTGTAAGAGCACCAGTCCCAGTGTCTGCAGGTGTGCATGCACACACACACACACATACACACACACACACACACACACACACACACATCATCTGGTCTCATGTTTGGCAGCAAGGAAACTGCTTCCCAGATGTGTGAGATTAAAGGTGCACCTTGTGGCCGCTAGAAAGGATGGTCCTTGTCATTCCAGACCCCACAAGCTCCCCCCTCTCCCATGGTGGCTTTAGAACCAAACCTGGAGTCCCACCCCCATCTGCTGATTTACAGTCCAGACCATCACAGAGAATCTTCTGCTTAGCATTTAAAACTTCATTTCTCCTCTAGTTTCCAGACGAAGACTGACCAGGGGCCGGTTGGAGGCTGTAGGTAGCAGGCTGCTGCTGCATTGGCACGCCCAGCAATCGGCTATCCCTGGCACTGTCTCTGTCCTTTGCACCAGCGGTGGTTGACTGATAATATTCCTCCATCTTTGCACCAAGAAAAGCAAATATCCCCAGCAAATGCTGTTTGCACTTGCTCCAGATCCTCTGGGCTCTGTGTGTGTGTATGTGTGTGTGTGTGTATGAGTGAGAGAGAGAAAGGGGGAACCCTGCCTTGGGGGTGGAGACACTTTGGGTATCAGACACAGCCCTGAAGCTTGAAGAGGTGCTGATGCTCAATATCACGTGCAGAACTTGCATTTCAAACTTTCAAAACCAGAGAATAACTAGTCTTGTCACATACAGAGAGCAGCAAGGATTACTGCTTAAAGAGGAAGAGGAGGGAAAAGGTAGGAGGGAAGGAGAAAGGGAGGGAGAGAGAGGCATGAAGAAACATCCAGTACTCCTAAGGGTTCCCTTGCTGGGCAGATGCACAAACTATTTGTTCAGCTGGCAAATCGTTTGCCTGGCTGCCCTGTGGAAGGCCATGAACCCACTTCCTCCTGCCACAACTGGTTACAAAGCTCAAGCTGGGTGGTTACATCAGTGTCGTTCACCTCGCTGCCCCTGGGGGAGATGCCCAGCTTGGAAAGCAGCCCTAGTCTTTTCCAACACAAATAAGCTGTAATCTGAGGGAGCAAGCTTGACGCTAGAAAATGGAGAGCAATTTCTAGGGACCGATAGGTTTCCCATTGGAATCTGCATCTTTCCAAGAGCTAGGCCTTGGTTCCCATTCAGGTTTGCAGACCAGTCTGGGAGATTGTCCCTGAAAAAAAATGTTTGGTGATTGTGACAGGGAATGGCCCCAAGTCACTGAATGTGGCAGTGCGGTTCTTTGGCCAGGCTGCTTTGCCTGTTCGAAGCCCTTGCAAGAAAATTGAACCCTCCCCAGACCAGGGGGCACAGAAGCAAATGCCAAGTCTTCCAGCTTTCTTTGAGTACAGGACATTTTCCCAAGTAGGCGTCCAGAGGAGCTAGCTCACACCAGCACCGTGGACATATGTTAAGACACAGGCACTTTTTTGGATCAAGTCATTGATGGAGCAGCAAACTTGACTTCTTCAGGAGCAAAATTCCATTGTGTTGTAAGCCTCAGGGGTCCAAGGAGCGGTCAAGAAGGGGGTCAAGCTATGTCCTGTGAGGCGACTGTGCTCCTGGACCCTTTTGCAGCCCTGGGCCTGGGGCCTGGGGCCCGGAAAGAGGTCAACTGGGCTTGCTCTGCCTTGGGGAGCTCTAGAAACAGTTTTTGCATGGGACAAGAGCCTTTCCCTAAATCTTTCTCTCTGGCAATCCTATTTATGTCTTGCTGCAGAAATACACAGTGGTGAATATTACTATTCACACCAGAAATAGACCTTTCCCAGGTTCTCGCACTTCAGCTCATCCAATGTTTTATCAAAATATTAACAGCCAGATGGAAAACCAGAGCAAATAAACCCTCTGCCCATAGAGAAACAATAAAGACCTGACAACTGGACCTGTTTCTATTTCCTTCTAACCCTGTTTGCCCCTGGGAGGTTGCAGCCCAGAGATGCCTGAGAGGCTGGGATGTGCACAGGCCAAGCCTGCACCTGGCTGAGAAAAAAAAATGGGGTTGGTGATTTCTGATACATGATAAAATGAATTTCTATACTGTCAGAAAACCCCTTCCTTTTCTTCTTTCCTTTATTCTCTTTCTCTTTTTCTTTCTTCCTTTTCATTTTCCCTCAGCCTTACTTAGGTGTAATAACAAAAAAGCCTGTATGCTTTTAGGGGGATATGATTCTATTATGTAATTTGATAAAGTATAGAATTATGTTAATCAAGTTAATACAGCTACCATATTGCTTAGTTATCATTTGTATGTGTAAAAGACCATTGGAGACTTGCTCTCTTAGCAAATTTCCAGGGTTCAGTACAGCACAAACTGACTGGTGAAGCCTGTCTCTATTCTCTTCTGGAGGAAATCTTAGGAGACTGGAATAAAATCAGAATGAAGCCTCTTGGACACTTCTGATCCTCAACAAACCCGGATTAATTCTGAGACTTGCCGAAGCTCCAGCTTTAGAAATTACTACAAACAACAGTAACAACACACAAAAGCATGGCACTGACAATAGCATATACCCTTGAACTTTTTCTCCACAGCTGGGCTGGATTGGATCAGTCTATACTCTCCTTGGACACTCATGGCAGGGACAGGATCTTGAAAATGAAGAAGTAGTTTTTTCTGTACAGCCTCATAGACAGTGAGTTGAGTGGCAATTATTATTGATTGCTAACAATGATTACATATGCAAGTAGTGATATATATATATATATATATATATATATGTAATTTGCACAGCATTTTTACAGTTTTTGAACAACAACGTTGCCTACATCCTATTGTTTGCTTCCCACAATAGCCCTGGGAAGGGTGGGATATCTTCAAGTAAGCTCACGAGCATGTTCACATCCAGAAGACAAAATTATGGTCAAACTCATCACCCAGACTTCTAGTCCTGAATTGTTTCTTCAATTCTGCCCTGCCTTCACAGCTTAGACCTGGCTGATGTCATATTTTCATCAAAGAATTGTTCATTCATTCATTCATGCATGCATGCATGCATTCATTCCTTTCATTAATACCTACTCAATTCCACACATTAGTTTCTGTCTCAGATGGGGAACCAGCTGACAAGAAGGAACAGCTTGTGCTGTGGCTGAGAGTGCAGATGTTCAAGGCTGGTTATTTAGGATTGAATCCCAGTTTACCTATCTTCTAGTTGCATAACCTTTCTCCATACCTTTTGTGGCTCAGCTTCCCTTTTTTGGGGGGCTCAGTTTCTTTATCTGTAATATAGATAATTATAGTGCCCATCTGAGGGAGATCTTGTGAGAATTAAAGTTCCTAGAAGTAGTAGCTTAAAACTGAACCTACCTTATAGAAAGGCTCAGTTCTGTTTCTTCTTAGTAAAGAGAGATTGCCTTATGCAATGAGCAATGGGCCTGTGAAACTACACAACTTCCTGGCTTCACCTGGGGACTGTTGTGATGACTGTATGACTTGATGTGCCCAGGACAATCTTAGGTTAGCCAGTGGGGTGTCTCAGTGGAATTGGTGGTGGTATTTCCTTTAAGTGTTTGTTGGCTTAGAGGATAAATTGCATGATTACCTTTCAGCAAGCTGGTCACCTACCAACTGTGAGCTGTGCACAACTCTAGATGACATAGAAACATGGTGAGATTAAATCAAGGGAAGGGACTGGCTAGAAAATGGAATTTAATACAATCACACAGCATACAGGAAATATAGTGAGTGGAAGATTCTGGCAGAAACAGAGCTCATCTAATAGATAACTTGATTTCTTATATTTTCTTGAAGATTGCCTGAGTCATGATTTAGTCTGGCCAAGCCTCCATGAATGGAAGTAAAGGGCCACTTCTGGAACAAGGTAAGAACTGCTGTCTGGGACTTCCCTTCCTTCCTATGCTGAGGTGACTTGATGAGTGAGAAAACAAACCTACACTGAAGCCTTGTGCAGTGAAGCCCTTGCCAGCCTGCATTAGATTTGTCTGCAAGAGAGGAAAATGCTGTCTTGTGAAGCCACTGAGGTTTCTTGTTACAGCAGCACAGCTCATTCTGTTCTAACGTTGAAATGAGCACTGCTGTACTCTGAGATCATTTTTCAAAAACACAAAAACACAACGATCTCCTCTTGGCTTTCTTCTAACCAAGCTGTTTCATTCCACAGTATTTCAATGGGCTCAACCTCCTGTTTTCTCTACAGGATCGGCCAAGGTACCTCCAATACTCCAACAAGTTGCTTATTGTGTGCCAGAGATATGGATGGATTGTGACTGAGATATGACTGTAGATTCTCATAATTCAAAGCAGAATTCCAACTTACCTACCTAAGAAGCTCTGGTTATCTACCTAGCCCCTATTTAAGGATTTCAATAAGGACTTGCTTCCCCTAAGGTTAACATTTGTTTGTTTTGTGCTAGTACGAGGGCTTGCACTCAGGGCCTTATTATCTCATTTGGCTTTTTTGCTCAAGGATGATGTTCTACTACTTGAACTGCAACTATACTTCTGGCTAGCTATACTTCTTTGCTAGTTAAGTGGTGAGAAGTGTTTCACAACTTTCCTGCCTGGGCTGGCAAAAATAAAAAGCACCACCAAGTATGGTGCTAATGATAATAATAGCTCTAATAACGTTGGGTTATTATTATAATACGTAATATATAATAATAACCCAAGGTTATTAGAGCTACCCAGGGCTTCATTCAGGGAGTTCTTGAGGGCCTGGCCAAGGACCTAGTAAATCTAGCTCTGTTTCACCATCTACAGATTCCCAAGCCTTCTTTCCCATGTTACCACCTACTTCCTACTTCCCTAACCTGTTTGTGCTTTCCTGCTATTTTTTTTTTTTCATTTTTCTCCTTGTTACTCACACATGGTATAAGGTTGAACACAGACATTTATTTGTAAAACCACTCCTAGGGCTCCATGCACACATCAATGAAACCCAGGGGGAACCAGACAGATGGCATTGCTCTGGCTACAAATCCAGTCAACAGAAATACAGAAATGTCCTTTCCGCTGGAGGACACGGATGCACCGACATGTCCAGTGAGGAGGCAATTTGGTCTGACTTCTGTGAGGAAGTGGTAGGAGCCTCCTTTCCATTGGTTTGCGTCCCACAAATATCCACTGCAGGCCTCCGCGGTCCTCCACCGGCCAGCGGGAGGGTGGCAATGTCGGATGCCCGGACCTTCTCACATGCCCATCCTTATGCTCTGAATGATCTGAAAGATAGCTGAAAGGGGAAACCAAAACAGACAGCTCAGACACCAGACAGCATGCTGTCAGAGACTCAACCCACCCCTGCCCTCAGCTTCTGCTGACCCTGGCCTCTTCACAGTCTGCTCACAGCTGATTAGGTATTTCCTAACAAGGAGTTAAGTTAACAAGGGGTCAGTGAACTTCTTTCAAAGGCAGCCTGGCTCTGTCTGCTGATGGATGCCTTAGGGATTTAGGGCTAAGGCCTGCTAATTCCACCAGGAGTTAAGGCCAGAAATCCCTCAGGGTAGAGAGGATGGCGGAGGCTCCCGTCCCCAGACATGTTCTGTGGCTGCTGGGTAACGGGCATGTGGGCTTTTGTGCAGAAACTGCACTCATTAAGCAGGTCAGTGGATCTACATGTTCAAAATGGCCATGACCTGTAAAATAAGCGGCTCTGTGTGGAAAGGGAGGCCAGGTGCTCGCAGCAGCGCAGGAAGCTGGGCCTCTGGCTGTCTGAGGAACGCAGCATGCAGAACACAAAGACACAATCTGTGTCTTTTGGCTGCCTAAGAATCTCTGAAATAGACTATCTCTTATTCCAGAGCAATAGTGATTTATTCAGGGCTCAGTCTCTATGAGTTGGGCTGGAATAAGGGATAGCCTGAAGACCACAGAGGACTTCTGGATCCCTGACTCACTTGGAAAGAGCTGGTTAAATATGCTTCTACCCTAGTTCTAGCCATTAGATTTCAAATGTATCCCAGGAGAGAAAACTACCAATTCCTTTTTACACCTTCCCATGTAATCTGGTTGTCAATGTGGATAATGATGATAAGAGTGGCTACAATATAAATGAATAATTTTTACGATGCTTTATTTTTATTTTTTGAAAGGAACCTTGGTATTATGTAATCATGTTTAAAAACAGAGTAAACCCCTGAGCTGTCAGAGATCTGACCCTAGAAGATATCTAGGAACACAGCTTCCTAAGGTGACCGCAGCAAAGCTAGGCTCTTCAGAACCCTCAGAAAACAAGTCCTTTGCCATTTCATCATCTAACATTAGTGGCCACCTATAGGTTATATACCTATTATCTAAAATGCTTGAGACCAGAAGTATGTAAGATTTACAATTTTATTTTGGATTTTGGGATTTCTTACACATGTAAGAAATTATCTTGGAGATGGAAAACAAGTCAATACAAAATTTATGATTGATTACCTATGGTTCATGCCTATAATCCTAGATACTCAGGAGGCTGAGATCTGGAGGATTATAGTGTGAGGTCAACCTGGTCAGAAAAATTCACTAGACTCCATCTCCAAAAATTACCAACAAAAAGCCAGGCTGGAGGTGTGGCTCAACTGGCTAAAATAGCAACAAGGCTGAGCAAGCATGAGCCCTAGTATGACCAACTTTTAAAATATCTATGTTTTATATACACCACATACATATAGGCTTACAGTACATGTATAAATATTTTAAATCATCTTTACATAAATCAAAACTTCATGGTATTGAATTTTCTACATATCGCATTATGTCATGACTTAAACTGCTTTAGATTTCAGAGCATTTCAGATTTTAGATTTCTGAATTAGGGATGTTCAACATGTGCCAGGAGCTGTGCATTGAGAATACAAGGGAAATAACCCAGAGGGCCCTGGGAATCATTCTTGGATAGTTCATAGCCACTTCCTTTCCCAAATGAAAGATATTAACCATAATCATTTGGTATTAGGTCTTTTCATGAGTATTTGGTCCCTATATCATAATGAGAAAGAATAACTAATAATGCTCACTGTGATAGTTATAGAAGACAGACAGTGTGAAATAATGAAACAGCTTCGAGTTGCTCTGTTTCTGGACCTCCATTTCCTTTTCTTGTTTCTCTCTCTCTCTCTTTCTTTCTTTCTTTCTTTCTTTCTTTCTTTCTTTCTCTCTCTCTTTCTTTCTTTCTTTCTTTCTTTCTTTCTTTCTTTCTCTCTCTCTCTTTCTCTCTCTCTCTCTTTCTCTCTCTCTTTCTTTCTCTCTTCCTTTCTTTCTTTCTTTCTTTCTTTCTTTCTTTCTTTCTTTCTTTCTTTCTTTCTTTCTTTCTTTCTTTCTTTCTTTCTTTCTTTCTTTCTTTCTTTCTTTCACCTTATTCTTATTTTGGCTCACATCTCTATTACCATGCCCATTTGCATCAGGCTGTCTTCTGTTATTTTGTTGCTATATGGATGGGGAACTTTTTTTTCTACCAAGGGCTATTAGGATATTCATAACAGCATTAAAAAATGACTAATACAGGTAGATGTATACATTTGTCCCATGGGCAGCCAATGAGAAGCATGAATATCTGTTCTAGCATGTACCAAATGATTTTGTGGCCCGAATCAGTCCTTGGGGTGGACATTCCCCGCCCTTGTGAGACTAAGCTTAAACAACAACAATAACAAATTAGAATTATACATTGAAATCTACCAACTGTACTCAACTTGGAAAGAACTCTCAGTAGATTAAGTGAAGGAGTTAGTTTAACAACTTAGGACATTTGGCTAATCTTGAGTTCTTGAGAGAGTCTTGACAGAGAAGACAGTATCCTACTAAAACATAAACTTCTAGAAATACTTGATGCTTCTTTCCTCACTAACAAGGTAACAAGAATTAAAGATTACATAAATATTTTGTATTCTGGCTCAACAGGAATACTAGGAGGCAACTGGACATGCAACAACATTAGGAAAAAAAGTATGTCATGCTTTAGACTCTGTTCTTGGGACTGGGGAATTGTCCTAATCTTGACAAAACAAGGTGAATTTATAAAGAGTGGAAATGAGGGTGAGATGGAGCTGGATTGTATCACAACCACTGAATGGCTGCGTGACTACACACTTCACTTACTGTCTTGAAGGCTTTTCCTTCTTCTGCGACATGAAAATCATCATATTTGCAACAATCATAGGGATTAAAGATATATGTGACATAGCATAAACAAAGGCTCCTCACACCATCAAGATGCCATGCCCCTCACCACTACAGACTCAGTATCCTTATCCAAAATGCTTGGCCATGGAAGAATATCAGATTTCAAAAATTCATGAATATTTGCATATAATAAAATGATCTTGGGAATGGGACCCGTATCACAACACAAAATTTATTTGTTTCATATACACCTTACACACACAAGCCTGAAGGTAATTTTTATACATCATTTTTACTGCACCTGCATTGTGACTATGACCTTCCTATCATACAAGCGCAACTGTTCAATTTTCCACTTGTAGTACTATATTGGCACTCAAAAAGTTTGGGATTTTGTAGCATTTCTTTCTTCCTTTTTCTTTCTCTTTTTTTTCTTTGTCAGTTGTGAGATCTCAACACAGGACCTAGGTGCTGTCCTTGAGCTTTTTGCTCAAGGCTAGTTAGTATTCTACTACTTTGAGTCACAGCGCCAATTCTAGCTTTCTGGTGGTTAATTAGAGATAAGCATCTCATGGACTTTCCTGCCAAGACTGGCTTCAAACCACAGTCCTCGGGTCTCATCCTGCTGAGTAGCTAGGATTACAGGCGTGAGCCTGGCACCTGGCTTTTTTTGTTTGTTTGTTTGTTTTAGTACCAGGGCTTTAAACTCTGGGTCTTGTACTGTGGGCAAATGCACTACAACTTAGACCAATATCTCTATCCATTTTTGCTTTGCTTTTCAGGTAAGGTCTTGAGCTTTTTGCCCAGACCTGCCTTGAATTGTGCTCCTCCTACTTACCTCCTCTGAGTAGCAAAAATTATAAGAATGAGCCACCATACATGCTCCTGTTTTAGAGCATTTTAGATTTCAGATTAGAAGTAGCCAACCTACATTATGATTAATACAATGACTACTGCTTATCTATGTTTGATCATGAAAATCAGTACTTACATATTATCTGCCACCCTAAAAACGTATGTACTTTAAGAAATTATTGCATTTGGGCCCTGCTTTTTCTGTTTATAAAATGGGACATTTAAGTAACTTGAAGAATCCGAAGAACTAAATACAGCAATATATATAAAAGATCTGTCCCTGACAAGTGCTCAAGAATGTTACTTTTCTCCCTTAATCATGTCTTTAGACAAAAAAAAAAATCATCATTAGGATATTGGTCAATTAATTTAGTGAATTCATGACTTAGCTGTCCTAGGTAGTGGTTAATCACTCAATTCTCTTTACAGAACTACTACAGATCTCTATAAATCATCTTAGACAAGCCAGGTGCTAGTGGCTCATGTCTATAATCCTAGCTACTAGCAAGGCTAAGATCTGAGGAGCATGGTTTGAAGCCAGCCCAGGCAGACAAATCTGATAGACTCATCTCTACCTCACCAGCAAAAAGCCAGAAATAGAACAGTGGTTCAAGTGGCAGAGTGTCAGTCTTGAGTGAAACAGCCAAGGGGAATGTGAGGCTCTGAGTTCTCTCGCCCCAGTAAAAGCACCAAAACAAAATAAAAAACCAGACAAAATTTGCATGCCTCCAAGTAGTAAGACCTTCCTTAAAACAACTTGTCTATTTCTTGGAGTTTGCTTTAAAAATAAAAGGACATTTCTGATCTTAATTGAATCTGTGAATTAACTTGCAAAAAATCCAGTAGTTTTGTTTTAATAGGTATGGAGATAGCCCTTTAAAACAAACCCTCTTAGAGAAATTACCTCGATTAGAGTCTATTTTAAGCTCACATCTCAGAAACCGGAGATAGTGATGTGTTTATTATTCCTTTTCCAGTTGTATCCATGTCTTTTAAGAAGTCTTCCACATTTTATACCAATTATGTTAATTGTAATTCTGTGTGCTTGCCAATACTGACCTGCAGAGTAACCCTGGCCTTCTAAATGCTGACTGGAAGGCAGCGAACAGGAAGGGAGCCAACTGGAGTTCAAAGAGAAAGGAAGCAGGGAGTCTACACCCTGACAAGTTAATAACTTAACAGTGGGTGAACAAAGCTGAGAAAACAGCCAAGCAGGCTGCAGGAGAGGGGCAGAGAAACAAGCAAGGCAGGGGAGAGAAAAGATGCCAAGAAAGGGAGGGACGGCAGGCATTCCAGACCAGAGACCATGTCTTGTGCAGGTCACTCACAGAGGCTGAGAAAAGTCTCTGTAAAATCTAGGTGTTGGTGGCTCATACCTGTAATCCTATCTGAGATCTGAGGATCGTGAGTCAAAGCTAGCCTGGGCAAGAAAGTCCATGAGACTCTTATCTCTAATTAACCACCAGAAAACTGGAAGTAGAGCTATGCCTCAAAATGGTAGAGTGATAGCCTTGAGCACAAAAGCTTAGGGACAGTGGCTAGCTCCTGAGTTCAAGCCCCACCACTAAGAAAAAACAAGTCTCTGTGAAAAGTAGGAAGTCCTCACTCATGTAACTGTAACCCTCTGTATAGTATCTTTACAATAAAAAAAAAAAAAAAGTAGGAAGTACAAGAATGAACAAGCTTCAAGCTTGGTACCCACCTGTCTGCATTTAGGATCCTGGCCCTTGGGGACCTTAGATGATCATAGCTGTGGGTTCTTCAGCTTCTCTCATCTAACTTTGTGTGTGTGAAAATACCATACAGAGGGGTTACAATTATATGAGCAAGGTAACGAGTACATTTCTTATCAAGCATTGTTGCCTCCTCCTTTGTTTCCCCTTCCCACTCCTTCTCATCTCCCTTCCCCTCCTCCCCCCATTCTTACCCCTCCTTCTCCCCCAAGCACCAAAGTTGTAAAGTCTGTTTTTCAACATAATGCCTTGTACAACTCATTGTTGCAATAGGTCTGCCTGTATCCCTATTTAAGCAATTTGTTTTTTCCCTTTCCCTCTACAAGTTATATCAACATCAAATACAGTAAAAACAGGGCTTATACCGTGGAGGAGTCTCATCTAACTCTTAAGTCCCTAGGCTAGAGCATGCTCAACTCAGACAAACAAGTCCTGACAAACAAGTGTGCCTGATTCCACATCTTCCTGGTACCCAGCCCACATGGTCTACTTCCTTTCCTTCTATTCCTGCCTCAATTGTCATTATCCTAGCTTCTCCCCTCACTTCATAAGAAGCATCTTTTGCTGAAGTCATAAAAGACCTTGTGTCACTGCATGTAACAAGTGTTACTTGGCCTTCTTTTTTTTTTTTTTTTTTGGGTCCTGTCGTGGGGCCTGAACTCTGGGCCTGGGCACTGTCCCTCAGCTCTTCAGCTCAAAGCTAGAGCTCTACCACTTGAGCCACAGCGCCACTTCCGGCTTTTTTCTTTTTGCTTATGTGGTGCTGAGGAATAGAACCCAGGGCCTCATGCATGCAAGGCAAGCGCTCTACCACTGAGCCACCTTCCCAGCCCTTCCTTGGCCTTCTTTTGCCTCACTACCTTCTCTCCACCACTGGCCACTAACTTGGCCTCTGGGATGCCCCAGCCTCCTGGTTTCTAGTGTTCTTTAGGTCTTTCTTCTAAGCTTCTTTTATGGGATCATCTTCCTCTTCTTAAACCATTAAACTTGGGCACTGATATCAAACCATGAGCATCACTGGCTTTCTTCTCTTCATTACATTTTCTCCTAAGGCAACTCATCCTGACCCACAGTGTCAGTGGCCATCTAGCTGTTGACGACTCACAAATGTGTATCTCCAGTCCTTACGTCTCCTCTAAGCTCCAGATCTTGTACCACCTAACTGTTATCTTCATTTGAGTGGCTCTAAAATACTTCAAACTCATTAGGACCTTCTCATGGTCTCTACTCACTGCCAAAATTGGTGGTGTTATCTTCCATTCTGCATGTGAACTCAAAATACTAGGGTCATCCCTCACACCTCCAATTGATGGCCAGGATGCATGGATTTCTCCTAAAAATATTGGATGTACTTGCCCTTCTTTTGATTTCCTCCCATCCACCACCCAAGTCCAGGCCACATCATCTTTCTCTACACCCTGCTATGATCTCCAGCTGATCCACTCCTGTTGTTCAATCCTTTCTCTACACTATTACAGAGTTATTGTTTATTTTTAAAAAACAAAGAACATAGTGTCACTCCTATGTTTAACGTACTCCTGAAGCTTAGTACTGCCCAATTCTTTTTTTTTTTTTTTTTTTTTTTGGGTCCGGTCGTGGGGCCTGAACTCTGGGCCTGGGCGCTGTCTCTCAGCTCTTCAGCTCAAGGCTAGCGCTCTACCACTTGAGCCACAGCACCACTTCCGGCTTTTTTTCTCTTTGCTTATGTGGTGCTGAGGAATCGAACCCAGGGCCTCATGCATGCAAGGCAAACGCTCTACCACTGAGCCACCTTCCCAGCCCCAGTACTGACCAATTCTTCATGGTCTACAGATTCTGGCTCCTATCCACCCATCCAGATTCACCTGCTGCTCTCATCCCCCTGTGTGGTACCCCCTCATAGCTTCCAAAAGCTCCCTGGTCTTTCACAGAGCTTAAAACAGTCCAATATTTCCTTCATAACATGTATATATATATATATATATTTTTTTTTTTTCAGAGAAAGCTTCTTTGACCCATTGGAACAGAGGTTCTCAAACTTGAGTGTGTATCAAAATCTCCTGGAGATGTTTTAAAACATCTGGGCTATACCCCCCAAATATCTAACTCAGTGGGTCTGGGGTAGGGACATATTGAGACTATTTCTAACAAGCTTATGGGGGTGTTGAGGCTGCTGGTCTAAGGACACACTTTGAGAACCACTTGCCCAAGAATTTATCAGCCCTTATATGCTTTCATAGACTCATTTGGTTCTTCTTTAAAGAATTTTACATAGTTTAGGATAATTACTAGATTAAATCATCTTTCTTTCTGAATTCCAGGTAAGTGGATACCATGTACAACGTAGATCCACTGCAAAGAGTACAAAGATAAATACATTTATAAAACCTCCACTGAAATCCTAGCTATTTAGGAAGCTGAGATCGGAGGATCACAGCTTGAAGCCAGTCTGGGCAGGAAAATCTGTGAGATTCTTATCTTGAATTAGCCATCAAAAAACCAAAAGTGGAGCTGTAGCTCAAGTGGTAGAGTTCCAGCAAGTGAAAAAGTTAATGGACAGCACCTGGGCCCTAATTCAAGTCCCAGTAATGGCATACGTGCCACACACACACACACACACACACACACACACACACACACACACACACGGAAGAAAGAAAATAAGGAAGGAAAGAAAGGAACAAAGAACCCCTAAAGCTTTACATTACTACTTTGCAAACCAAAAAAGATCAAATAGCTACCTTTGGATCCAAAAGTCCCAAGATCTGAGTCCTTGGAGAAGCCAAGACACCACATACCATAAAATACCAATGGCCTTGGATCATGTCATGCTGACCCTGAGGACTAACTCTTCCTGGCTACAAAAGAGTTCCAGAGAGACACCGGGAAGACTCAAGTGGTTCCCATAGGAAACTGTCAGAAAGGGAGACTTGTCAGATTCATAACCAGCTTTTATTGAAAACAAATACTTGATGAAGAGTAATCAAGGCAGTTGCTGAGAAGAGAGATTAAGACGGACCAGTGGAATATCCTTTAGGATAATAAGATAACGCTAGAAATCCAACTGTATTTTTCATTGGGAAAAATAAAAGATGAAAGTCTTGGTTTCAAAAAAAAGTATAGGCCCTGAAAGATAAGCAGATATATTAGGAGACAAGACAGTGGAAAGGCAGCTCCTTTCTGCTGAGAAAGAAAACAGAAAGCAAGATAACATTCTCTGGTAGCTTCTCCAAAGATGAAGAAGAAGGAATAAAGAGAGATTCAAGAAATAGAAAAGGGCAAGAAGGCAATGCTAAAAAGCAGATGTTATTAGAAAAGAATGTGATGCCTTCCAGCTACATTTAAAAAATGAAGAAAGTAGAAAAATGTTCCCTAGAAAAGAGACCCTATGCAATCTCAGATACTCCACCAGGACACCGGGTAGAGTGGCATATAACAACAGAGGTCAACGGTCACCTTGAGAAAACTGATAGCTGGTGAGATGTCTCTTTCAGGCTGTCCAACTCAGATCCTGAGGCAGGAACTCCAGAGCAGAAGAATGGTTTCTGTCCTTCTTCTAGGGTCATCCACTTCCTCATATACCTCATTTGCTGGTTTTCAGGGTGACTTCCTATGGGGGTCACAGTTTCCAGAGAGTTCTGTCAGTCTTCTGCACAGGCCAGTACTTATGTGCTCAGCCTGCAAACATGGCAGATTGAAGTCTGTCCTAGAGCAAGTGTCCAGGAAAGAGAGAGAGGATCAGGGGCACTAGTGGCCCAATCAGGGAGCAGCTTGTGGCCAGGATAATGTTCCCTCCATCTGGGAACAGGCCTTGGTTTAACTAGACAACAGGAATTTCTGGAAAACACATTTTAATGGCAGAGGAAAATAGGGGATGTTTTAACAAGGGTTTTTAACACAGTCATATGCTAAATGGTTGAAATTAGTGGAAAATTTTTACTCCATAGTATTCTTATGGAAATAGCAAGCTAAAATGTGAGAGAAGTAGGTTTGGTTACTAGCTCTCTCACATTTTAGCTATAGGATATTGGCTGATTTCCTCCATACACCTCAGTTTGATTATCTGGAAAAAGAGCCTAATAAATAGCTTCTTCTGGAGATTGTGTGACTAGAAGAGAAAAATGTACATGTAAGATCTGGTGTTACAATATATTAATCCTCAAGAAATGGTAGCCAAGGCTAGGTGCCAGTGGCTTACACTTAAAATCCTACCTACTTAGGAGGCAAAGATCTGAGGATTGCAGCTCAGAGCCAGCCTAGGAAGGAAAGTCCATGAGAGTCTCATGTTCAACTACACACTGAAAAGTCAGAAGTAGAGTTGTGGCTCAAGTAGTAGAGCATTAGCCAAAGGAGAATGTGAGGCAATGAGTTCAAGCCCAAATACTGGCACAAAGAAACACAAAAATAAGAAATGGTAGTGAAAACAGAATGCATCAATGGGCTAGTTTATAGTTTTCTGACAGCAGACAAGGTGTGGTTGTCCCTGCAGAGGTGGCATCCCTATATCCCTGGTCCTTTGGCTTATAACTCCACCTCTAGCTGTCCAGGTGCAGCTAGTCTGGGCCACGTAGACTAACATTGCCAATCTATGCTCTCCTCTCAAGTTATCTTGCTATCACAAAGCAAAACCATCAAAATATGTCAACTTCTTTTCCCTTCTCTGAAATCAGTCAGAATTTTTGTTAGAACCTTGTCAGGGGGTTAGAGAATAAGAAGGTGGTGTGAGAAAGGACCAGACATACCCTTACAATAACAGTAAATATTTATAAAACTGATCAAGCCAGGTATTGGTGGCACATGCCTGTAATCCTAGCTACTCAGGAGGCTAAGATCTGAGGATCTATGTTTGAAGTCAGCCCAGATGGAACAGTCTATGAGTCTCATCTCTAATTAACCACAAAAAAAGCTGAAGTGGAGCTGTGGCTCAAGTGGCAGAGCACTAGCCCATGAAAAACATTAAGGGATAGCATTCTGGACCTGGGTTCAAACCCCAGTACCAGCACAAAAATAAAAAAATTAAAAATTAAAAAAAAACCCTGACCATGACTCAAGTAAGATTTTTATATGTGAAATGTTAGTCCTCAGAATTAGTAGCCCAGAGGATCCTGGGAGTACTGAAAAAGTCCTACCTTCTTTTAAGAATAGCAGAACCAAGATTCGGTACGGGAATAAGTCATTTGAACCAAGCTACATAGCCAGGAAGTAGGCAGCACCACATATAAGCCTAAAGTCTCATCCTAGAGTTGGACCTCCTAGCAACCATGCTAACTCCCTCCTGTGACATATGGATATGCTCATTTGGTAGTTTTCAACCAACATGCTCTAAGATATAGTCCTCCCTTCAATCTTGTATTCTAGAAGATTTTATAGCACTGCCAATGGCTCACAAAACAAAACATCTGACCTTCCAAACTAAGGCTCAAAGACATACCACCACTAAACTGGTGACCACATGGGGGCCACACTGGGAGTGAGGACCAGAAGACCATAACAAGAGCAGTCCTTTGGTTTTCTGTGTGTGCCTAGAACATCCAAGACTCACAGTCTTTTCAGTCTTTTCACTCTTCCACTTCATCTTGAATCTGTGGGTGTGGCCCTTGTAGAAATGAAGAAGGGGATGGGTGGGTGGACCTGGACCATCTCACTCAAGAGGTTCAGGCCCTGCGAAAGAGAACGTGAGGGAATGATTTCTTCACATCTATTCTAAAATGTTGTAATGAACAAGGACCTGCTTATATGTTGTCTCTCTCCAATCCCAGTCATCCCAGACAGAGTCTCTGGGGAGTCCAAAAGAAAAGTAAAATCTGTTCACTGACAAACAAATGCATTATCCCTTCCCAGAAACATGGAGTTGATGGGATGGATAGCGACAAATAAACCTATCAGACTCTGTGCTCCAAGGCCTTAACTCTGTAGTGACAGTTATTTGATGGCGCCCTCTTTTGTAGATGGAGAATCAGAATATCCAGCAATACAGGATATCCACACTCACAAACACACACAATCCTCCCACCCACAAACATATACAAACACACCCCTGCAAACACAGAAACCAACATGTAAAAACACAGAAAATCACACATTCGCAAACACACACAGGAGCCTACACAACTCCAACTACAACAGCTGTTCTCTCATTTATTGCTCTCTAAGATTTGAACAGAGTTCTTCAGCTTTAAGAAGAAAAAAGACAAATAAAGGCCGAAACGCCGAAAACTACTCAGGCGTTCTGGTCTCAACTTTTTTTTCTTTCTGATTATTAGAGTAACCTGATTGCTGACAAATTTATATAGCATGGAAAATTATAAAGAAAATAAGTCACTAGTTAACCTTATCTCCCTAGAGGCCTACTCTTGCTGGGGAGGCTCAAGAATAGACACTGAGGCTTTGGAGCCATTTAGATTCTCATAATCTCTAATTAGGAAATGAATATCAGGATTTGCCAGAGAGGAGATGTAAAATTGAAATTAGGAATACATGGGGGAAAAATAGCCCAGGGGAACTGGGGCAAAGTTGGCATTTCCAAAGTTCCTGCAGAGAACTGGAAGGTGATGGGAATTAAATGGTGGCTCTGTTGATCCCAGATGAAGCCTTAATTGAGGCTTATGAACAAAGAAACATTGAACCAGACTGCAAGGAGCTGCTGCAAAGAAAGTGTCACATATTGCTGCTGTACAGTGTTAATGTACAGGTCCCAGCACAGGCTCTGAGGAGGTGCAGAATGCCACGAGTCCAACAGAAGCACACATATGCAGATACTGACTCTAAACAGTCAAACTGTCGGCATAATATATTAAGGAAAGGACCTACTATGACCAAGACCAATAGGCATTTTAATCACAGGGAATTAAAAGCACTGAAAACAGTTGGTCTGGGAATACCGTGGCCAGGGATAGCTAAGATGAAAATGTACCCTGTTGACAATACCACTCTCATGACAGACATTACTAATCAACTGATGACTATTTTCTCATTGAGCCTAGGTGTGACTCAAGAATCCTTCTCAATAAGGTTCTTAAAAAAGAAAGAAAAAAAAGAAAGAAAGGAAGGAAGGAAGGAAAGAAGGAAGGAAGGAAGGAAGGAAGGAAGGAAGGAAGGAAGGAAGGAAGGAAGCTGAAGATGTAAGAGAGAAGGTGGGGGAGTAAACAATCCAGGAGTTAGAGTTCGGGCATAAACAGCCGTGACAACTATCATTAATGGTCAGAACAGAGCATCAGGTCTGCACAAGCCTTGGGAAGCTAGCAGCTGGTCTATCTGTGTGACAGTATCTTTGCAGTGAACACTCTCAGACAGACATTCCAGGTCATGCTTGTCTCTGCGTTTCAAGATAAAAACAAGCACTCTTTAAGAAGCTATCAAACAGTTCTCCAAAGAGGTAGGTTTTGAAACCTGGTTCAAAGAGAGCCAGGGTGAGCTGCTTATCTGGAAAGAGGCTCCAGTGTCTGAACAAATGGAAGATAACACTCTTACAAAAAAGAGGAGAGGAAAAAGGGCAATTTTCTAAGGGGGCTTAAATTCCTTGGACTTCAATGTGAATCTGAAACTCAGTGGATTAAGTAGAGACAAATTCAGCCACTTCAACAGGCTCAAGCCAACCCAAATCCCAGGATGAGTAAACATTCAATTGAGAAAAAGGTTTTAAATTTCATATGCATATATGTAATATGCATATGTACACACAAATACACATATGGTTATTAAGTTCAACAAAATTGACCAAAGCAAAATATGGGACTGAATTGTCCTAGTTGGACAGTTGCCATGTCTCACAAGAATGCACTGTCCCCAGCTCAGAAGGCTGAAATCAGGAGGATCACACTTTGAGGGAAGCTCAGAGGAAAGGCCCCATTTTAACCAATTAAAAGAAGAGTGTATGCTTGTCATTCTAGCGGTATGGGAAGCTTAGTCTGGGCAAAAAAATGAGACCTTGTATGAAAATAACCAAACCAAAAATAGAGGTGTGGTACAAGCAGTAAAGCATCTTCCTAGTAAGTGCAAAACCCTGAGATAATAACCCCAGTACTGCCACACACACAGAAAGCATTGTTTCCATTGTTTTATATCATAAGGGCAACTATACTAAAAAGCTCTATACTAGGGTTGCTTCATGAACATGAAACATACATTGTACTTTCAGTCTTTAACTTAAAGTACAAACTTCTCCTCTGACTTTGGTCTGCATGCCTGTACTTCTACCTAGGGAAGCATCAGTGGTATTATCTCTGAAAACTCATCCTTGGGGTGAAGAAAGCCACAGCTTTCTGCTAGATTAGGAATATCAGTGCTGGCTCTATCAAGGAAATCCCAGCCTGGGAGGATGAAAGGCAAATGGAAGTCTACCACCCAGGGCATTGCACTGTTTTTCCCATGAGGGCTCAGAGGTAAATAGTGAGGTGAATGCAGCTTATGAGCTTTGTTATAGGCCAGTACTTAGAACTTAGGTCCTTACAACTGCCTTTGGAGGATTTCTTATCTCTATTTTCCTTTTTACCCTCTTTTCTCTTTCTTCATTCTCTCCTTCCTTTCTTCCTTCCTTCCTTCCTTCCCTCCTTCCTTCCTTCCTTCCTCCCTTCCTCCTTCCCTCTCTCCCATCCTTCCTTCCTCCCTCCCTTCCTCCCTCCCTCTTTCCCATCCTTCCTTCTTTCCTTTTT